ATGTTCATAGAAACATTATCCCCAATAGCCAAAAGATAGAAACACCCCAAATTCCTATCATCTGATGAATGGGTAAACAAATGTGGCATATCCATACAATGGAATATTATTCAGCCATAAAAAAGAATGAAGTACTGATAACATGCTATCACATAAGTAAACCTTTAAAACATTATGGTAAATGAAATGATCCAGGCACCAAAGACCACATGTTGTAGGTTCCACTTACATGAAATATCCAGAATAGATAAATGCATAAAGATAGAAAGGAGATGAGTGGTTGCCAGGAGCTGGGGGAAAATCGCAATGGAGAGTGAATGCTTAAAGGATATGGGTTTCCCTCATGGAGTGATGAGAGAAATCTGGAGCTAGATAGTGACGATTATCATACAGTATTGTGAATGTACTTAATGCCACTGAATTGTACACTTTAAAATGGTTAAAATGATCAATTTTATGTGTATTTTACCACAATACAATATAATCTCACTGTGGTCTTAATTTGCAATTTCCCAAATAGAAGGTGAAGTTAAGCATCTCTGTGTGTGTTTATTAACCATATATGTTTCCTTGCCTGTGAAGTGCCTATTTATATTTTGTGTCTGTTTGTCTATTGGGTTTTTTTTTCTTTATTTTCAGGTTTTTATATATTCTTGATGCTGTTCCTTTATTGGTTGATATTTGACAAATATCATTTACCAAATTGTATCTTGTCCTTTCACATTACACTTAATAGAAATTCTTAATTTTAATATAGTAGGATTTATGAAAATTTATCTTATGATTGTTATTTTATTTAAAAATGTTTTTAATGTTTATTTATTTTTGAGAGAGAGAGAGACAGAGACAGAGTATGAGCTGGGGAAGAGGCAGAGAGGGAGACACAGAATCCAAAGCAGGCTCCAGGCTCCAAGCTGCCAGTACAGAGCCCAACACAGGGCTCGAACTCACAAGCTGTGAGATCATAACCTGAGTCGAAGTCGGACACTCAACCGACTGAGCCACCCAGGCACCCCATGATTGTTATTTTATGATTAATGATGATTATTTTCTGATTATCTTCTTGCTTTAAAAATAGTTTTTAGTACTCTTACGTCAGAATAAATATTTATCCATATTTTCATATAAAAATGTAAAGTTTTCTTTTGATGTTCAAATTCTTCATGTAAAATTTAAATTTTTATATACGATATGAGGTAGGGATCCAATTTCATCCCCATATAGATAATCAAATGTCCCAGCTCCACTTTCTCCACTGATGTGCCATGCCACCTCCCTCATATGTTAAATTTCCACATATGCAGGTTTCTGTTTCTGGGCTTTTTATTCTGTTGTATTGGTTAATTTGTCTATGCCTTGCTAAAAAACAGATTTAATTACTATAGCTTTATAATAAGTCTTAATATATAGTTTTTATATCTCCTTATTCTCCTTCAGAAGTATCTTAGACATTCTTGGTCTTTTTGTCTTCCACATATATATTAAAATCAACTTGAGGATGCCTGGGTGGCTCAGTCAGTTAAGTGTCTGAGTCTTGATTTTGGTTCAGGTGAAGAGTCTTACAAATTGTGAAATTGAGCCCCACATAAGGCTGTATGCTGACAGTGCAGAGCCTGCTTGGGATTCTCTCTCTCCCTCTCTCTCTGCCCACGCCCCCCCTCAAAATAAATAAATAAACTTTAAAAAATCAAATCAAATTAAATCAACCTGAGAGATTCCATGCGAAAAATCTGTTAGGGATAAGGTCACCATTGCATTAAATCTACAGCTCAATGACAGGTGTCAAGGAATAGCTAGAGAGATAATTACAATATTAAGTGTCCCTAAAAATGTCTATGTATATCTCTCCATTTACTTGCCTCTCCTTTCACGCTGTTCAGTAAAGTTGCATAGTTTTACATATACAAGTCTGGCTTATATTCAGTAGATTTATTCCTAGAAACAACATAGTTAATTGATAATGTACCTGTTTTCCTTTTCTGAAAATTATGGGGGTTTGTTTGTTACTGGTATATGAAACTGACAAAATCTACACTATTCTGTTTGAAGAAAGAGTGGTGTGATGGACCCAGAGCCCTGCCTGCCTGGCCTCTCCTCATGATCAAAGCCCCCTCTCTTCCAAAACTGACACCTCTTCGGAACCAGGGAGCTCTGCCACACATGGTTTGAAAACTTCTAATCTAGAAGAATGAACAGTTAAGAGTAGTCAACAATTTTTTTAAAGAATAATAATATTGTGAACTGCTGGACAGTGAAAGATTATAGAGGCATTAAAAATTTTTAAATATGTAATATGAAGAAGCCAGACTATTGAGAAAAATAAAAAGTAAAAAAATCTTAGTCTATACAATGATTAAGTATGTGGTGAGTATGGCATTTCTAATCATTAAAGAAAGCCTTTTTTTAGGGTGCCTGGTTGGCTCAATCAGTTAGGCATCTGACTCTTGATCTCAGCTGAGGTCACAATCTCGCAGTTTGTGAGTTTGAGCCCCACATCAGGCTCTGTGCTAACAACATGGATTCTCCTTGGGATTCGCTCTCCCTCTTTCTCTGCCCCTCCCCCACTTTTTTCTCTCTCTCAAAAATAAGCATTTAAAAATGTTTTTAAAAATACCTCTTTCAATAAGTAGTGCTTTCAATAAGTCATTAATTACTTAGGAAATTTGACTACATTATGAAACTAGCAGTGCATTAGGTTAAAACTCAATGCTAGCCTGCTAGCTTATGATGTCTAAGGACATAAATTGGTATTTTTATCTTTGTGTCTACATGTGCCCTAAATATGTAGTCAGTGCTCCATAAAAACTTGTTGAATTATTTTTGAATTTGCTTCTTTGGATCAGGGCCACATAAAATAAATTGGATTTAAAAGTTACTATTATGGAAAGATTTTGTAAGGCATGGACTGGATAATATGTAATTATCTCTTAGAAGCTTTAAAACTTTAGTGAGCTTAGGTGATCTAAACTCGCATAGTAACTATGAAAATAATTTGCTATCAGTTATGGAGAATATTTTTATAAGGTTCACTCATTAATTCAAGGACTAAGTGAGCCCATTCTAGAACATAGGCAAGAATTGATAATATATCTTCATCATATACAGCCACATAAGAGTCTGCACTTGGAGAAACCCTATTTGCAATACAGAACTGAAAACATATAATTCCATATAGAAAAAAATGACCAATGATAGAAAACATTTGTTCCAAATATTTATCCTAATTACTATAGGCACTCAATATATGACAAGCCTGGGGAAACATGACTGGTTAAAAAAAAATTATCTATGAAAACAAATGTAGTTGTGACAGTTGAATGTCAGTGTAGGAAAAACTGACTTTGATCCATATTTTACCCTTTATATTACAATTGCCAGATGCATCAGAGTTAAATAAGAAGTAAGGATGGGATGAATAGGAGGAGCACAGATTTTCAGGACAGTGAAACTATTCTGTATTATACTGTAATGGTGGGTCCATGTCATACATTTGTCAAAACCCATAGAATGTACAATACCAGTAGTGAGCCTATGGACTCTAGGTGATAATGATGTGTCAAATAAAATTTTATTTTGTTCAACTTTTGGAGAAAAAAAATAGTGATGGCTCAAATAATGAACTAAAGGAACTATAGGTTTTTTTTACTAAAAGATTTTAAAAAGTATTTAAGGACATAATGATGTCCCATATTCATTCATCTAAGTTGTCAGCACTCAACTGGACTACTGCAATACTCTCCTGACTGGGTCTCCCTCATTCTTGCTCCCATTAAAACCATTTTCCTCAAAACAGCCATAGTGATCCATTAGAAATACAAAGTGATGTTAGTTGCCTGTTTCAAACTACTCCTTTGATTTTCTACTTGATTATTTAATTCTCCTTTGTTGCCTACAAAATAAAGTCCAAATTCCCTTTGTATGGGACATAAGATCCATTACAACTTAGCTCTTGCCTCTCTTACAGCTTAGTTCTCTTTCAAATTTTATGTTCTAGTAATTTGCAACTGCTTCATGTTCTTTAAAGTTCATGCCATGCTATTTCATGATTTTGTGACATTGCTCAAGCTTTTCCCTTTCCCTGGCACATGCTCCCCACCTTTATCTATCTTATGCATATTCATCCTTCAAGACAGGTCAGATACCATCCTCCAAACTGAGTTAGAGTCCCCTTCTTGGGTTTCTGTAGCATCATATGCATACTTCTATCTCATCAGCTACCAAATCACATTGAAATTATCTGTTTATAAGTCTATCTTCTCCATTAAACCATAAGTTTCTTTAGGAGAAGCCATGTTTAGTCATCTTGTGTACCTAGCCAGCTCCTGGAATATAGCAGGCATTTAGTAAATAGAATGAGTACTTAATGAGTACTTAATAAGCCATCTTCTGGGTACTGCACCAGGGACTAGTGAACTTCATATATTCCATTTCTGCCACCCAATAGCTCACAGCCCACCATACAAAAGAGGACATGAGAAATGACAGGCATGAAAGCACTGTGACTAGTGAAATGAGTCAAACTGGGTGAGAGTCTGCTGTCTTCTTAGCCAAATTGAAATTGCCTACCACCAACCATGCTCATCCATGAGAATGAAGAATGGTAGAATTTTCCTCTGTTAAAATCACTTCTGAGAAGTGACTATTGAAAGACAAGTAGGCAGACTGAAGAGACAAGAGGTCATAGTGATCTACAAACTCATCCATTCCCCCCTTTGAGAGTCTTGATATGCACTCTTCAACGTGATTGAAAAAACCTTTACAGGCTTGTGTTCTCTAGAGTCTGATATGTGATCAGGTTTATTCTGTAAATAATGAGAGTTGTGGCAGAAACACTTCCTTGCTATTACTATTTTCAACACTGTTTTATAATGGAAGCACATTAACAAATTTATTTTGTGCTATTAGCCAAGCATAGTGTTAAGATATGAAATAAGATTATTCCACTCAACCTTCATAACAAGCCTATGAAGTAAGCACTATTATTAACTGCATTTTGTTAGGGGAGGAAATTGAAACTTGAAGAGATCAAGTAACTTGCCAAGATCACGTCTGTAGTAGGCATTAGAAGCAGGATTTGAAGCCAAGCAGTCTGATTCCAGGGCTCACAGCTTTGGTGAGTGCACCATACTACCTGAGCTGTACATGGTAATATGCAGTGAACACTCATTACAATTGGTCCATTATAAATTGTTCCTGACTTCAGGTAAATGGCAATTTATAAGACTGAATAATCAAGTTGTCAGTTTTGTTGCTTTTTTTTTTTTAATTAAGGATACTTTGGGACCTGTAAAAGTGTTAACAGTTCCTCTCAGAAGCCTGCTAATAGTGGAGTACTTTAAACTTTAAGGATACTATCCACATAAGAGAAATAAAATCTTATCATTAAAATATCTTTTTTTAATGTTTATTTATTTTTAAGAGAGAGAGAGAGAGAGAGAGAGCATAAGCAGGGGAGGGGCAGAGAGAGAGGGAGATATAGAATCCAAAGCAGGATCCAGGCTCTGAGCTGTCAGCACAGAGCCCAACATGGGGCTTGAACCCACAGAAGGAGAGATCATGACCTGAGCCAAAGTGGGACACTCAACCGTCTGAACCACCCAGGCGCCCCTAAAATATCTTAATTTGTTTTTATATTTAGCAGTTTTAATTAGTATATGATTAGCATATGGAAAGAGTCTTCCTGTGGAAAGAAATCCACAGTGCTACCTAAAGACTCAAGTGTTTGTTTAAAAAAAAAAAAAAAAAAGCTTTACTTTTCTCCTTTTAGACTCCAGAAACAGTTTCCTCCTAAAGCTGACTTCCTTTCTGGAAATGATTTTTGTTTCCAACCATGTTGAGAATCCATTTTTTTTTTCATTCCTTCTCTCTCTCTCTCATTCTTTCCTTCCTCCCTCCCTTCCTCCCTCCTTTTGCTTTTCTGGTAGTAGCAGAGAGGAAGGAGGGGGTGGGCACAGCAAAGAGGGAAAAAAGAAAACAGAAAAAGAATTGCATGCCACTATGCCTGAATATATCCTCTACTTGTAGATAATTCCATCCGAGTTGCACTTTTGCCTTTTTATTTCCGTTTTTGGACACCTCCTTTATCATCCAGCCAACTGGGACAGACAAAGCACTGTTGGTGCCCTGAGCGACAGAACTCTGGTAGGGGGCTGGCTGTAAATTGACGTGGCATGGAAATTCTCCGCTAAGTTGTAGCAGCTTGCATGTTTCTCCTAAGATCAAGCCCAGCCTCCCAGAGCTGTGGCTTAATCATCATGGGTTCAACGACTTTACAGAAAAATGGATAGAAAATGTCTTCAGCTCCTTTCTTTGGACTCAAATGTTTTCTTTTTGACTATCTATGGTTTAGCTGAAAAAATCAAAGCAGTTAAGTCTGTAACTTTCTTTTTGCAGCTTAAACAACAGAATTTGCTGCTCTCCCTCCCCTATCCTGCAATTTAATTCCTTACAGATTTTGCCATGGGGTGCGGACTTAGAAAGCTAGAAGACCCTGATGATAGCAGCCCTGGAAAAATATTTTCTACCCTGAAGAGACCGCAAGTGGAAACAAAGACAGAATTTGCTTACGAATATGTATTGCTGGATTTCACTTTACAAGGTAATTTTTGCTTCTATTTTATTTGTTAAATGAAATCTCTCAAAGAGAAGGCACCAGTTTTTTTAAGTGTTGCTTGTGAATTTTTAAACTATTCTTCACAGATTGTGTAAATCTAACAATAATGCTTTGTTTCTTAATTATATTTTGAAAGGTTTTTGTTTCGTTTGCTTCATTTTTTTATAATATGGCTCATATATACTTTATAAAATTAGAAAAACTGCTTGGAATTATTTTTCATTTTTAAATCAAATGCTTATTTGTAGAAGGATAGATAAAAATGTTTGATTTCTCAACCTAATAGCTATAGCCTTAATGACAGTTGGGTCTTGAAAAAGATCTTAAAGTCACAAGAAGGTAGCCTGTAGAGAATATGATTTGCATGGTGTGAAAGAGTATTTGCTAAGATAATTCTGAGGTTTCCAACTATGTAAAATTTTGTGATTGTAATAGTCATTTGATATTTTTAACCAAGCTAAACTTGAAGTTTGAAAATACAGTAAAAAAGAAAAAAAAAAAAAAAAGATAGTCTTTCTGTAAGACATTTCCTTTGCTTGGTGCCCTGTCCCTAACAGAGAAACTCCCTGTTCCAGAAAGTTGGAAACACAAATAAACAAGCCCAGATGGCAGCCCTGTGGAAAGAACAGAGGCAGCTCAAACTCACAAATACTTTGCCTCACTTCTTTTGGAACTTCAGGGTGTACAACTGCATGGATAAAACCGAGTTTTTAAAAACCAGAGCAATATCTTTAACTATGGGGTACTGAAAATGAAATTTCGAATGTCTTGCTTGCTGTTAGAATTTCCAGATATCAGTATTTTAAGTTCTTATTACAAAGTTACACTTTTAATTCTAATAAGCCACACATTTTATCAGTGAATAGAAAGTTTATACTAAATATATGATCATGTTGGGTATTAAATTCTTTTCAACTTAAACACAAATTCCCCATTTTTTGGTTTCCTCTGTGAACAGTGCATCTTTGTGCGAGAAGCAAGAGCAGCCCATTTTTCTTTGTCAAAAATTGAGCTAGCCAGCAAGCAAACTCCCTTCCAGGGACGTACACAAAATCCTAACATATACTTTCAATATATTCACATTTCTATTTTTATCTAAGGCTAAGGCTACCAAAGGTGAAAATGTCAATATTCTCAATTTTCTTTTTAATTATGAAAGTTAAAAGTGGATTAAGATAATAGTGATAATCAGAGAACTAACCAATCATGTGAATTTTTTTCTATACTTTTTCAAAAACCATCATTTGAGAAAATATTTCTGATGTGGTGCTGTGTTTTCTGCATTGATTGTTCTTGTCAATTATTTTTAGGACTAGTTTCTGTCAATCCATAGGATGCAAACACACACTCTCCTTAACCTTAAAACCTTGTCTACTCATAAACTTTAGGCCAGAGCCATTTTGATCCGCACTTTAAGATTTGCTGCACAATCCACCATGGGATCATAAGGCTTAAAGTAACTGGAAATTTTTTTTTCTGATTTATTTCCTTTTAACAATGTTAGCAGTCTCAAACAAATATGCATACATGCAGTCATGCTTGAATCAGAAACATCTACAGCTTTCGTCAGAAGTGATTTTGGTTTTGTTATCAGAAGCACTTCTCTCCATGAAAGTAGTATAATTACTACCTCTACTCTAGGTGTTTGGAGGAGGTAATAGTGTTACTCTATGAAGTGTAAGTATGGGCACAGATTACAAATGCTAGCACAGAAAGCAGGCACATATTTTAAAGTTGCATCTGGTTCCTATTTGGATGAGGCGCCTAGTCTCCTGGTGCCCCTTTCTGTCCAATTCTTCCACATTTTTTGTTGTGTTTTGTTTTGTTTTTGTCTTTGCCTTTGCGTCAGAAGCCAAGACTCTGTATCACCCCAAGTGCACAAACCACCTTTCTTTATTCTGTTGTTTCTGACGTCCACCTGCCACTCCAGTGTATAGAGGAGTGAGTCGGGGTGGGGGTGAGGGGGTGGTGGTAGTTAAAACATGCCAGTCTTCTATTTAACACTGGCAATTCTGTCCTGGGATTGCTGTAAGTACTGAATAGTGACACCTCCTATTTCTCAGAAGCCACTGTGAGCAACCGTTCAGGAAATAAAATGGTCTGGTGACAGCTGTGTGTGCTCATGATGAGCCTGTCTCTTACCTTGTTTTCCTCCGTTTTTTCCAAATAGAGGACATGAGACAGAGAGAAAGTCTCAGTGGGCAAAAGGAGACCCTTTGAAATTTCCAGTGCCTTGTGCTAGGATGGCTAATGATCCTGAACAACTTATTTATTTTCATTCTTTTATTTATTTATTCTCTTTCTTTTTCTCTTTCTTTCTTTTCTTTTCTTTCTTTCTTCCTTTCTTTCTTTCTTTTCTTCCTTCCTTCCTTCCTTCCTTCCTTCCTCCCTTCCTTTCTTTCTCTCTTTGCTTCCCTACACTTTGGGGGGGGGGGAGGCTGGCGGTGCAGGGGGACTTTGAGACATTATTTACATCCCTATGGGAGAAATAATAGCATAGTCATGAAGAACATAAGAGTCTGGAGTCAGAGTTCCTGGATTCTGAATCTAGGCTCTTTCACTCACTATGTCAGGTTTATAAATGTTGCTGTATCTTGGTTTCCCCATCTGAAAAATAAGGATTCTGATGGTACTTACATAATGGAGTTGTTTTGAGGATTAAGGAGGATAATACAAGATAATCCATTTAATAAAAGTTAACTATTATTATCCCTCCTGGCTTTGTGCCAGGTCTACCAACTGCACTAGTGAGATTTTGGTACAATTTTTGTTTTCTGTGAATGTGTATTTATGAGAGTGAGTGTGTATACGACTATGTTACAGAATTTCTTAATAGAATAGAATAGTTAAATTAACTCTGCAAAGTATCCAAAAGTGTTAGTTTCATCCTTAAATCCCAGAAAAGAATCTGAATAATAATAGCCTTAAGGATTTTTAAAGCACATAGAGCTTTATGATTAAAGGAGTTTTACTAAAACCCAATAGAAAGAAGGACAGATGGTAGCTTTGAATTTCTAGTAAAATTATGTAAAATATATTAAGGAAAATTTTTCTGGTCCCTAACTTGCTTCCTTATTATTAAAACAAGAAACTCTCATTGTCTTTTATCACTACCGTTAACAGCAATAAATACATAAGACATATGGATTTTTTAAAAGATACTGATAAGTACTAGAAATACAAAGAGGAATAAGACAGTTTCTGCCCTCAAGTATTTTATGTTCTAAATGGTCAAACTAGAAAAGACCCTAAACTCCTCAGGGTCAGGAACTATTTCTTACCCACCTTTGTATCCCCCTATCTAGTACAGTGTTTGGTCCGTGAACAATGGCCAATAAGCTTTGTTGAATTAATGAATGAAAAATTATAATACAAGATACAAGAGGTAAAATCAATTTTGAGTAGGATCAGTTAGAACTGGAAGTAGGACTTTAACTGACCCTGAAGAAAAGTAGGGCTTAGATTATCAGAAAACAATTAAGAGGTTGAAGCATACTCAAAAGCTGTTGACTAGAGCAGTGAGCTAAGGGAGGTTTTGTTGGAGAAAAGGAGAGAATAAGGTTGGAAATAAGTGGAGTATGAAACACTCTGACCTGGCTAAGGAATGACTCCTTGATTCTATGGGAATTAAGCAGCTGTAAAGGCTTTTGAACGAGTAGTTGATAGGTACAGAGAAGTTTTTTTTAGAAGATTAATGTGAGATTGCAGTGAAGAGAGATGAGAATGAGGATATTTATTTAGAAGGCTGCTTGTAGTGGTCAAGGCTACCAGTGGACCATGAGGACCTGCATATTGGGGGACAGCAATAGGATAGAATGCAAGGGGCAAATATAACGGACACTATGAAGGAGGAACTTACTAGCGTGCGCTGGCTGGATTTGAAGGAACAGAAAGAATGAGGAATCCAAGATGCCTTCCCACTTCTGAGTAACTGTGTAACTGAGCCTGAGTAACTGTGGAAATAATGATGCCTCTTACCATGGAAGGGGCAGCCCAAAGAGAGTCAGTGTGTAAAACAGCAGTTCCATCACAGGCATGTTCCATTTGAGGGGGCAGTGGACATCCTGGTAGAGATTCTTACAGATACATAGCTGGAGATGATGATTTCCAGGAGGAACTGAAATAGTTAAAGTCTTAAAGACCATGAACGTGAGCAGAGTATAAGCATCTTGGGCTGAGTTGTCAGGCATATTTAGCCATATTGAAGACAATTTCAGTAAAAATGACTGAGAATGAAGACCGTCAGGACTATATACACCAGAGAATACAGGAAAGGGAGGGTTTCAAAAAGCAAGAAGTGGTCAGTAATTTCAAGTGGTAAAGAACTTGTAAGAAGAGTGAAGATGCAGCACTGTAGAGCATTAGAGAATCAACCAGAAGTGAATAAAGGATCAGAAATGAGGGAAGGAAGGGGCACATGGGTGGTTCAGTTGGTTGAGCTTTCAACGTCGGCTCAGGTCATGATCTCACAGTTTGTGAGATCGAGCCCCATGTCGGGCTCTGTGCTGACAGCCTGGAGCCTGCTTCGGATTCTGTGTCTCCTTCTCTCTCTGACCCTGCCCCATTCATGCTCTGTCTCTCTCTGTCTCAAAAATAAATAAACATTTAAAAAAAATTTTTTTAAGAAATGAGGGAAGGAAGGAGGAAGGAAGGGAGAAAGGAAGAGTGGGTCCCACTAAATTTTCTGTATCTGTCTGAATCTAATAAATTCCTGAGCATTTCCCAAACAGTCAAAAGATTTTCAAAGGTAAAGTGCTATATTAAAGGAACTTATAATAAAAGCGACTAAATTTAATCAGGCATCAACATAATCCCTGTTGTAGTGCCTAGCCCAAATTCCTACCAGGTGAATAAACCTATACAACGAGTTCTATTATGTTTGAAATGGTGAGATATTTTGGTCTAGAATAATAATAAAACCTCACAAATACCACTGGGGGAGAAAAATATCCCATTCTAGACTGAAAAAGAGGAGAATCTCTGAT